CTCTGGCTCACAGCTCCCTCTACCACCCTCAAAGCTGCCTGGCCTGCAGCTAGTTCAAGGGAGCCGGCAGGAGCCATGGAGGAGATGACCCATGCCAGGTGGGGCACAAGCCACAATCCTCCTCCTTGCCCCTATGCTTCCAAGCTGTCACCACATGCCAGCCTGGGTTTAGGGGTTTGGCTGCTTTCCCCTGACACTGCCACCGAGCCCACTACTCAAGGACGTGGCTCCTACCCCACACCAAGAATCATAGACTATAAGGGTTGGAAGGGACCTCAGGAGGTCATCTAGTCCAACCCCCTGCTCAGGAGCCAGAATCCCCCTGGGGTGGTGTGATGTTGCACTCCATATGTTTTATGAAAATGTTTATAAGTGTGAATATAATTCACACTTCTAAACATATTTTCATAAAACACATGGAATGCAACGTCACAGGTGGGAAATCCCGAGGTGGGGAGAGTTAGCAAAGGGAGTGGGAAATCCCCAGGGGAGGAACTGAAGGGGGGGTTCCCATGGGAGAGGATAGAGGGGTGGAACTTCCCACAGGGGGAGAGACTGAGGGAATCCCTGTGGGGCAGAGACACAGGAGGAAGAATCCCAGGTGGGAGCGAAGAGTGGCCCATCTCCACAGGAGCCAGAGTGGCGCAAAGCGGGATTTTGCCCCTGCCAGAGAACAACTGGACTGGCTGCTCAGTGTTCGGCGCTGTCTCTCCCCTGGGCAGGCAGGTGCACGCAGGCGTGAGCAATACCCAGAGAAGTGGGAGTGTGAAACCCTCTGTGAGCCCTGCTGGGGCTCCCTCCCCACCCTATGGCCAACAGGGGGGCAGCTTATGTTTCCCTTTTAAAGGACATTGTCAATCATGAATGAGGTGTCCCAGTCAGAGCACCCCTGCTGTCACTACCAGTACACACCCACAGCCCCATTGATCCCCATGCTGTCTGGCTTTACCAAAGTGCACCCCCTCCCTGCTCATCCTGTAATGCACCCTCAGAGCTCACCGCTTGGATGCAGAGACCTGTGTCCCAAACCCTGGAAGTCAGGGGATCTGGGCTCAATTCTTGTTTTTGTCCAAAACTTTCAACGTATCCCCTTTGGAATAATGCCACCACCATGCTCTTCTATAGCCCCTTTCAACACTGGGGCTCAAAACATTCTACAAAGGGCAGTCAGTAGCATTACCTCCACTTCACAGATGGGGAAACTGAGGCAAAGTGTGGGGCAGTGACTTGTCCAAGTTCACCAGCAAATCAGTGGCAGACCTGGTCAATAGAACCCACATCTCCTCTGTCTCAGCCTAGTACCGCACTCACTGGACAGCACTGTCTCCCTGAAAGGCACTTAAACTCCCCGTGGGTGTAGCTGTCAGATGGGGATGCTGCTGCTTTCCCCAGGGACGCATGTGTGTTGTGTGTTCCCCTCTGTGCCCGGACCACAGGGGATGGGAGTCTGATGCCAGAGCCTGGCTCTGAGACTTTCAGCTCACGAGGTCCCTGGTTCAACTGTGGCTGTTGGTCAAGATAGCAGCCTTTACACTGCCCTGCCTCCCAGCAGGGTGGTGAAGATAAGAGGCTCAGCTACCATGGTGGTGATGCCCCCACTGGTAGATAAGTATGGCTTTTGATACTGTCTCCCATGACCTTCTCATAAGCAAACTGGGGAACTAGAGCCTAGACGAACCAACTACAAGGTTGGTGCAAAACTTGTTGGAAAACCATACTCGGAGAATAGTTGTCAATGGTTCACAATAAACTTGCCTGAGGAGGTTGTGAAGGCTAGGACTATAACAGGGTTTAAAAGAGAACTGGATAAATTCATGGAGGTTAAGTCCATTAATGGCTATTAGCCAGGAAGGGTGAGGAATGGTGTCCCTAGCCTCTGTTTGTCAGAGGGTGAAGATGGATGGCAGGAGAGAGATCACTAGATCATTACCTGTTAGGTTCACTCCCTCTGGAGCACCTGGCATTGGCCACTGTTGGAAGACAGGATACTGGGCTGGATGGACCTTTGGTCTGACCCAGTCTGGCCATTCCTATGTTCTTATGTTCAGCTGGAAGGGCCTATTGAGTGGGGTCCTACAGGGAGCTGTCCTGAGCCTGGCTCTATTCAATATCTTCATCAGTGATTTGGCCAAGGGCATAGAGAAGTACACAGATAAAGTTTGAGGGCGCTGCCAAGCTGGGAGGGGCTGCAAGCACTTTGGAGGACAGGATTAGAATCCAAAATGATGTGGACAAACTGGAGAAATGGTCTGAAATAAATAGATGAAAATCAATAAGGACAAATGCAAAGTACTCCACTTAGGAAGGCATAATCAAGTGTACAAATACAAAATGGGAAATGACTGCCTAGGAAGGAGTCCTGCAGAAAAGGATCTGGGGGTTATAGTGGATCACAAGCTAAATATGCATCAACAATGTAATGTTGTTGCAAAACAAGTGAACATCATTCTGGAATATATTAGCGTGAGTGTTGTAAGCAAGACACAAGAAGTAATTCTACTATTCTACTCAGCACAGATAAGGTCTCAACTGGAGTATTGTGTCAAGTTCTGGGCACCGCGCTTCGGGAAAGATGTGGAGAAAATCCAAAGGAGAGCAACAAAAATGATTAAAGGTCTAGGAAACATGACCTACAGCAACAGATTGAAAAAACTGTAATTGTTTAGTCTGGAGAAGAGAAGACTGAGGGGGGACATGAGAACAGTCTTCAAATACATAAAAGGTTATCAAGAGGAGGGTGATCAACTGTTCTCATCCACTGAGGATAGGACAAGAAGCAATGGGCTTAAATTGCAGCAAGGACAGCTGAGTTGGACCTTAGGAAAATCTTCCTAGCTGTCAGGGTGGTTAAGCACTGGAATAAATTGCCTAGGGAGGTTGTGGAATCTCTGTCATTGGAGGTTTTTAAGAGCAGGTTAGACACACACCTGTCAGGGATGGTTTAGATAATACTTAGTCCTGTCAGCAGTGCAGGGGACTGGGCTAGATGACCTCTCGAGGTCCCTTCCAGTCCTACATTGCTGTGACTGGCAGGAGTGTGTGTGAGGTCACAGCCTGATGACATGTTCCCAGCTAGTCACATGGTCAGAAAAGAGAGAAACAAACAAAACCGCTGGGGTTGCTAATCAGATCGGCCAATGGCGCTTTCAGGGATATGGGGCCGACGACAGAAAAGTCCTGGGGCTCCATGTCTAGACCAGGCAGACACACTTAGCCAGACCCCATCCATTGTCCACACACAGCCACATCACACCCAGCCACCCTAGCTGTCCCTCAGCACCTCTCCCTAACCCTCGCCCAACCAGACCTGAGATCTCCTTTCCCCCACTTGTTCCTAAGCAGGTGCTCAAAGAGAGAGGGCAGGAGGCCAGTTACTCCTGTCCAGCATGCCCCAGCCCCCACTGAGAAGGCAGAATTCTTTCCCTGCCTCCATGCCCAGATTAAAGCTTCCAGTTTCTCCCTTGGTGGCTTCCACGTAGGAATCAACATGGAGGAAATGCCCGCTAATGCCTAATATCATCTTGTCAAAAACTCCCTGCTGCAACAGATCTAGTCAAGCTTCAGCTCCGCGAAGGCGGGTGTTGACAGTCAGTGCTGAGCTGAGATCTCTGGGGACCGGGCGGTTCTGAGGCAGGACGCTCATATTTTTAGCGGACCCTTTGACACGTGAATTGTAACGCAACTGGTGAGGATTTACTTGTCCGTGCTCGGAAGGTTCCTTCAGTTCCCGAGTGTCAGTGCAGTGATTCTGGGGAGGCTGCCGGGTATTCTTTGGCCACTGAAGCTCTCCTTTAAGTGAAAACTGAACTATACCCTAAATCCAGGGGTCAGGGTGCCAGCATGGGACTCCAAAGACCTGGTTTCCATTCCCAGCTCTGCTACAGACTCACTCTGTGACCTTGGGTGTGTCTCCCTGTCCCAGACCCTCAGGGGATTTAGGCGCCGAACTTCCAATGAAATCAAAGGATGTTGGTGCCTAAATACCTTTGTGGATTTGGGCCTTTGTGCCTCAGCTCCCATCTGTACCAGGGGGATAACAGCCCTGCCCTGCCACACAGGGGACAGGTAAAGATAAATACAGTAAATACTGTGGTGCTGGTAGGGTTGCCAACTGTCTAATCACACAAATCCTGCCCAGCCCCTGCCTTGCTCCTTCCCTGAGGCCCCACCCCTTCTCTGAGCCCTCCCCCCACTCACTCCATCCCCCCTCCCTGCATCGCTTGCTCTCCCCCACCCTCACTCACTTTCAGCGGGCTGGGGCAGCGGGGTGTGGTACGGGAAGGGATGCGGGCTCTGGGCTGGGGCCGAGAGGTTCAGCGTGTGGGAAATGGCTCTGGGCTTAGCCTGGAGCAGGGGTTTGGGGTGCAGGAGGGGGTGTGGGGTGCAAGCTCTGGGAGGGAGTTTGAGTGCAGGAGGGGGCTCCAGGCTGGGACAGGGGATTGGGGTGAGGGAGGCGGTGAGCTCTGGGAGGGAGTTTGGGTGCAGGAGGGGGCTCCGGGCTGGGGCAGGGGATTGGGGATTGGGGTGCAGGATGGGGTGAGGTAGTGTGACCAGATAGAAAGTGTGAAAAATCGGGACAGGGGGTGGGGGGTAATAGGTTCTAATATAACAAAAAGCCCTGAATATCAGGACCATCCCTATAAAATTGGGACATCTGGTCACTCTAGGGTGAGGTGTGCAGGTTCTAGGAGGGACTTTGAGTGCAGGAGGGGACTCCGGGCTGGGGCAGGGAGTTGGGGTGCATCAGCGGGTGAGGGGTGCGGGCTCCAGCTGGGTGTCGCTTACATCGGGCGGCTCCTGGTCAGCCGCACAGTGGGGCTAAGGCAGGCTCCCTGCCTGCCCTGGCCCCGCACCCCTCCCAGAAGCAGCCGGCACGTCCCTGTGGCCCCTGCGGGGGATACGGGGTCCACATGCTGCCCCTGTCTGCAGGCACTGCCCCCGCAACTCCCATTGGCTGGGATCTGTAGCCAATGGGAGCTGCAGAGTTGGCGCTCGGGACGGGGGCAGCACGCGGAGACGCCCTGTCCCCCCACAGGGGCCACAGGGATATGCCGGCCGCTTCTGGGAGTGGTTCAGGGCCAGGGCAGGCAGGGAGCCTGCCTTGGCCCTGCTGTGTTGCCCGACTTTTAGCGACCTAAAATCTCCTGGTTTGGCTTCAGTAGCCTGTGGGAGATAGAGCCCAATTCCAGAAGACGCCCGGTGAAATCGGGAGGGTTGGCGCCCCTAGGTACCAAGGCCATAGAAGTTGCTGAGATGTGCTGTGCTCGGTACCTCCACAGCACCCCAGACATACGTGCAACTATAAATAAGGTGAGGGAGGAGCAGGTGTCAGCATGAGACCGAGAGCCAGGCCAAGGGGAGAGTCAAAAGTTGGGGGGGGGTCTTTTCATTCCCTATAATCCTCTGGGCCAGAGGTCCCCAAACTGTGGGGTGCACCCCCTGGGGGTGGGCAGAGAGGGAGCACCACCGAGCTCTGCTCATGGCCCTGGGCCCGGCTGCTGGCCCTGGCTGCCAGGCCCGAGCCTGGGGCTCTGGTGCTGGCCCCGAACCCGGGGTCCCAGCTGCTGGCCCCACGCTCGGAACCCCAGCTGCCGGCCTTGGCCCCTGGCCTCAGCTGTGTTCCTGGCCTGGCCCCCGCCCCCTGTCCCAACTGTGGCCCCAGCCTCAGCCCCCTTACCTCTGTCTGTGTCCCCCCTTCCCAGAGCCGCAGCCCTGCTCCTGACTCTGGGGGGGCTTGGGGCGTGGCCAGGGGTAATGGAGGGAACAAAGTAAAAAGTTTGGGGACCACAGCTCTGGGCCATGACTGTTACCGCTGGGACCTGATGCTGGGACGTTAACCCTTTACATGGCAGCCTCTGCATCACACTAGCATTCCATTTAGTATCCCACGCGGGGAAGGTTTTGTGGGGCAGTTTGTATGAAAGACCCAACACAAACTAAAACTTTGTAGAAACGCGTAACCCTCGTGCCGGGCCTGTTAAGTCCTGGAGCCCTAAAAACTCCAAGGGCAAATGCCACTTGCGGAGCCCCTAGAGTGCTGCCAAGTGCCCCCTGTAATCCCCCTACAGAGCAAACTCTGAAGGGGAAAAATTCCTGACCCCAAGGGCCGGATCCTGTTGGGGAGTCCTAGATTCCAAGGCAGCAGGGACTATTGTGACCATCTGGTCTGACCTGCTGTATCGCACAGGCCAGAGCCCTGCCCTAAAATAAATTCCTGCGTCAAGTCCAATAGCTGTGCTTGAGCTAGAGCAGATGTTTTAAAAAAAATCCCGTCTTCATTTAAAAATGGCCAGTGATGGAGACTCCACCCTGATTTGGGTAAATTGTTCCAACGGTTAATTACCCTCCTCAACGTTACCAACGATGCCTTATTTCTAGCCTGTATTTTTCTAGCTGCACCTTCCAGCCATTGGATCTTGTTCTACCTTTGCCTGCAAGAGTGAAGGGCCCTCTGGTGTAAAATTTCTGCTTCCCATCTAGGTACTGCTAGACTGTGATCAAATCACCCCTTAAACTTTTCTTTGATAAGCCAAATAGATTGAGCTCTTTGAGTCTATCACTATAAGGCAGGTTTTCCAAGCCCTTGATCATTCTTCTGGCTCTCCTCTGAACCCTCTCCACTTTATCAACTCTCTTCATGAATTGTGGACTCCAGGACTGGACACAGGATTCCAGTAGTGGTTGCACCAGTGTTAAATACAGAGATACCATAACCTTTCTGCTCTTACTCAAGATTCCCCCGTTTATACATCTCAGGATCACATTGGCTCTTTTGCCCACAGGGGAGCACTGTTCAGCTGATTATCCCCCAAGTTAAAGTACCCCATCTGTAAGTATGCTCTGCATTCCTAGTTCTTAGAAGTACTAAAACAGATATTGTTTGTTTCCACCCAACATACCAAGCAATCCAGATTGCTCTGTATCGGTGACTTGTCCTCTTTGTTATTTACCACTCTGTTAGCCTTTGTGTCATTTGCAAACGCTCTCAGTGATGACTTTATGCTTTCTTCCAGGTCACTGATAAAACTGTGGAATAGCATAGGTCCAAGAATCAAACCCTGTGGGACCCCACTAGAAACACTTCCCCTCAGTGATGATTCCCCGGTTCAAATTACATTTTGAAACCTCTCATTCCGGCAGTGATTAATCCATTTAACGTATGGCATGCTGATTTTCTCTTGTTCTAGTTTTAGACTCAAAATATCTTGTGGGACTGAATAAAATGCCTGACCGAAGTCTGAGTGTTTTACATCAACCCTACCACCTTTACCAACCAAACGTATCATATCATCCAAAAATGCCATCAAGTTAGTGTGACAGGCTCTATTTTCCATTTGCCCATGTTGTGTGCCATTAATTACATTCCCCTCCTTTAATTCTTTATTAATTGAGTCCCATCACAGCTGCTCCATTAACCTTACTGGGATCAATGTCAAGCTTACCTGGATCGGCCACAAGCCGAGCTTTCTTCCACTCCTCTTCCAGGATTGGGGATGATGGAGCAGTTTCTATGCAAAAGAATTAATGGACACAAATCTGACGTCAGGAATCATAACATTCAAAAACCAGTAGGAGAATACTTCAACCTCTCTGGCCACTCAGTAACAGATTTAAAGGTGGCAATTTGCAAAGAAAAGCTTCAATAACAGACTCCAGCAAGAAACTGCTGTGCTTGAATTAATATGCAAACTAGATACTATTAGCTTGGGTTTGAATAGAGACTGGGAGTGGCTGGGTCATTACACATATTGACTCTATTTCCCCACTTTAAGTATCCTCACACCTTCTTGTCAACTGTCTGAAATGGGCCATCTTGATTATCCCGACAAAAGTTTTTTTCTCCTGCTGATAATAGCTCATCTTAATTAATTAGCCTCTTACTCCACCTTTTCATGTTCTCTGTATGTATATCTATATCTTCTTACTCTATGTTCCATTCTGTGCATCCGATGAAGTGAGCTGTAGCTCACAAAAGCTTATGCTCTAATAAATTTGTTAGTCTCTAAGGTGCCACAAGTCCTCCTGTTCTTTTTGCGGATGCAGACTAACACGGCTCCTACTCTGAAACCTGCGGCTGGTGTGGAGCAGGAATATCTACTCTGGCCACAAGGGGGCATCAGTGCTGCAGAGATGGGCAGCTGCGGGCACCCCAGGGGATTGATTCCTTTAGTCCAGCTGCCTGGTCTAGAGCTGAGGATGACCAGTCCATACCGTGCCCTCGTCAGAGAGAGGCAGGGGATGGGAGGTGCTGCTACCATCAGTGAGGCTCAGAGCATGAACCTGCAGACGGAGAGTAAGGAGATCCCAGTATAAACCAGTATAACGGCAGCTTCAGAGCGGGCAGGAGCCGTGGAGATCCCAGAATAAACCAATACAGAGAGGCTGTTGCTGCTGTAGGACTGGGACCCTCCCAGTTCTCCCAGTATAAGGCAAGGGAGTGGAGATCCCATCTCAGCCCAGAGGCTTCCCTAGATCCTCCCCCCGCGGATGGAGGAGCCCCCGGCGAGGCGGCCCGGGGCCGTGGGCTGCCAGCGTTGCTTCTGGGAGTTCTGGAACTACGAGACCCCCAAAGTGATCGTGGTGAAGAACCGCAACCTCGGCATCATGTATAGAGGGGTGCAGCTGCTGATCCTGCTCTACTTCATCTGGTAGGTCCCTGGCTGAGCCAGCGTGTGGGTCTGGGAGAGATAGGGTGGGGAGAGCTGAGGGGGCAGGCAGAGGAATGCCAGAAGAGACAAGGCAGAAGGGGCAGCGTAGCCAGTCTGCCCTGGGCACATTGCTGGCACCAGCCCTTTTCAATATGGTTAAATCTTGCATCACTTTGCACCTACCCTTTCTGACTCCGGAAATACGAGAGCTGGTGAATAAAAGGCAATTATGGTTTGCAGGAGACTTTGGGGGTTTTAGTTTCCCATTAGCATGTTTTGTTTTCTTCCTCTCAATGACAATCCAAACCGGAAACATTTTCCATTTGATCAAAACATTTTTGATAAAAATGTACAGGTTTCAAAAATCATTTCTCGTAAAAAACAAATCAGTTTTGGGAAAATCAAAAACTTTTTTTTGCCTTTGGAAAATCAAAAACTGAGCATCTTTTCCAAAAAGCAAAGCTTTTCACCAAACATTTTTTGGTTTTCATATCCCTGCCGCCCCCCACCCCCCTTGGGGGGAATTTTGACTCAAATAAAAACGTGCGTGGGTTTGGGGTTTTTTGCCAAAAAATATTGTCTGACTCTAGTACAAATGTAGTAAAAGGATTTGTTCTTTTTCCTTTTCCCCTCTTTCCTTTGCTCTGCTCTGTCTCTCACACTCCAGTGCCCCCTCAATCTCCTTTTTCTAGATTGTTTAATAGTCATTTTCTCCTACTGTCCTGTCTATGTTGTGGTCTCTTCCTCCCTCCTTTAACTTTTCAGTCTCTTTTCTTCTCCCTCTTTTCATCCCGGACCCTTCCCCTCTCTCACATCCCCCAGTCCCACTCTCTCTGAACTCTGCCCATCCTCACTTGCCTTTCCACTAAAAGCTCTCCCATCCCATGCACTCTCCTTCCCCACATCCAGTCATTCTCCTCTTTCCCACCCCCCCAAGGCCACCGCGCACATGCTGGTGAATGAAATCTCCCAAGAGGACAATCGCATACACCGCCCAGCTGATCTGGAAACGATTGCCTCGTGGCATAGTTCAGCCCATGGCCAGTGCACTTCTCAGCCTCTCTGCCCAGTCTGCTCACCAGCGCAAAGCAGGGCTGGGAGTGTGTGACAGGGGATCTGGAACAGAGACCCACCCACCTCCACTCCAAGAGGCACCACCCAGCATCTGTTAGCTGGAAATAAGTCTGAACCCCGGCTGAGCGAGCCAGGATTTCTGGTGACCTGCAGGCGAAAGGCTTCGCTAGCAGGGCCTTGAGACATCCCGGCCTGAAGAAGCACTAACTGTTACACTGCCCAGAACGATGCTTGCTGTCTAGCCAGCTATTGAATGCAACCAGTAGGCCAGGGCCTGAGGGGGACTCAACACACCTGCTATTTGAGAGGTGATCGGTAGCGGAATTCCAGGATCCTGTTCCTGGCTGTAGGAGCAGATTCATGTAGCGTCTCTCAGTCGGTGCCATATGGTCCCATCTGGCCTGGAAATCTATGAAAAGTTCCAGGCCCTGGGTCAGTCAAACGCAGGCTGTACTGGTCTGGAGGTGTTTACAGTGTGAATCCCTGCCCTGGCCTAGTTCCTGGAGCTGTCTCCGGTCCCAAAGATCCTGCACTGGGACTCCCTTTTCTATGCCAGGACCCCTCTGGGACCCCCTCCCAGCTAGGTGGGATCCAGCCAGGCCCCTCCACCCATTTAGCAATATGGGATGGGCAGGGTAGTTACATACTGGTTTGTAGGGCCCAGAGTAAGAATCCCAGGGCCAACGGTTACACACAGCCCAATCAAGCACATAAATTGGCACATTCCCTCTGTAAGTCACTGTGGCAAAGGGGTGAGACTTTCCCCTGTCCTAGCAAGACCTGGGTTTTGTCCCGACCTGATGGGACGTTGCGCCTTTCACTCCCTGGAGCTGTGACGTGGGCGAGTGGCCAGGTCGGGGCCTGAGGGCTCGGTTAATAATGAGGGTCATGAAGGTCACAGAAGCACTAACAGCAGTTATTAAATAGCCGAGGCTAGAGCCGTGGTCCCCTTGCTTGCAGGCTGGCTCCTCGCCCTAGGCTAGAGGGTCTATCTGCAAAGACCAGGGATTTCACCTGCCCTGCAGGCCGTGGAGACAGACCTGCCACATGCATGAGCCTCACCCAGACGGATGAGCCCTGGTGGGTGTGTGCAGGATCCCCCAACACCGACAGACCAGCTCCCTGGAGTCCCCAGCCACCCCCTCTCCTGGCTTCTCTCTGCCCCGCTCTCCCTGAGCCCATCACTGCTCCCCACACAGCCGTCCATGCTCCCCTTCTCCCCAGGTTCTCTCGGCCCCCTCACTGGCTTCCGCTGGCCTCCTGTCTCTGCCTGCTGCTTCCTGGTGCTCCCAGGCCCCCGACGCCCTTGGTGTGGGCCGGGACCTGTGATGGGAAGGGGCTGGCTCCCAGGGGCTGCCCAGCACCAACAAGGCTTAGGGCGGGGGAGTGGATAATGCAGCGGTGCAGGGAGCATGGGGGTGGCACGTTGCCGGGGAGGGGGAGAAGCCCTGGCGTTTTGGATTCCCCAGCCATAGGGCAGGCAGAGGTGGGGGAATACGTCCCTCCCCCCACCCGCCGCACCCCCGTCTGCTGGGGATGTATGTCCCTGATGGCTCCCCTGCCCCCCAGGTACGTGTTCATCATCCAGAAGGGCTACCAGGAGAGCGAGACGGGCCCCGAGAGCTCCGTGGTCACCAAGGTCAAGGGCGTCGCCCGCTCGCACAGCAGGGTCTGGGACGTGGAGGAGTACGTCAAACCTGCCGCGGTGAGGCTGTGACGCTGCCCCGACCCCATGCCCTGGAAGGCTGTGATCTGCCCCCCCCCCCCCGCGAGGCCCTGACACTACCCCCCCCCCGGCAAGGCTGTGATCTGCCCCCCCCCCGCGAGGCCCTGACACTACCCCCCCCGACAAGGCTGTGATCTGCCCCCCCCCCTCCCCGCGAGGCCCTCACACTACCCCCCCCCGGCAAGGCTGTGATCTGCCCCCCCCGCGAGGCCCTGACACTACCCCCCCCCGGCAAGGCTGTGATCTGCCCCCCTTTCTGGGGGCCCTGACACGACCCCCCTCCCCCTGCCAGGCAAGGCTGTGACGCTGCTCCTCCCCCATGCACCCCACAAGGCTTTGATGGGCCCCCCCCACTCCCGTCTGGGAAGCCAAAGCACGGCCCCTCCCCCACAGACTCGCCCACTCCCCCACAGGCTGTAATAGCTCCTGCCTGGTGCCAGGTCCCCCTGGAAGCAACCAGACTGTGACAGCCCCCAAACAGCGGAGGGGGTGCGGGGGGGGGGGTGCGCTGGGCACCTCGCTGACACTGGCTGTGCCAACGCTGCGTGCCAATGCTAATAACAGCGCGTTGCCGACATATGACCAGCTCCCCCCGGGCCCCGCTGAGCCCTGCACGAAGCTGGAGTCTGCACAGGGCGCCCCCCCACCATTGCACCCCCAGGGCTCCCTGCGCTGTGCCAATCCCCGTGTGTGCGCTGACTTGCCTGGTTGCCATAGGGAGCCCTTCCCACTCCCAGCGAGCCCCCGCGAGCCCCTAGAACCATGTGCCATGGGACCAGCCCAGCGTGGCTCCTGGATGGGAAGTGGTGAAGGGACTGGCCCGGGCGGGGGGCAGGATTTACGAGCCCTCCCCTGCTTTGGAGTAAGGAGAGGCAGCTGGTTGCTCTCTTGCTGGCTGAGGCTGGCCAGGTGGATGCCCTCCAGCGCTGCAGGGCTCTCTCCAGCGATCTCACTCATTCCAGATCCAGCAGGGCACTCCAGTGAGGGCTGGTGGGGAAACAGGGGTGGGGGGCTCCATGGAAAACGTCTCTCTCTCCCTGTCGGCTCTGCAGGGCGGCAGCGTGTTCAGCATCCTCACCCGGGTGGAAGTCACCCACTCCCAGACTCTGGAGACCTGCCCCGAGGTGAGAGAGACAGACGGGGCTGTGTGGAGGGCATGGGTGGAGGATGGAGGCAGGGGGCCTGGCTGGCTGGGAGCAGCGAAATGATACAGAGGAAAAAGGCTGGGTATGGGGGACTGGGGCATGTTTTCAGTTGGCCCATGACAGCCCCAGACCCACATTCCCATGAGCAGCACTTTCATAGAATCATAGAATCTCAGGGTTGGAAGGGACCTCAGGAGGTCATCTAGTCCCACCCCCTGCTCAAAGCAGGACCATCCCCAACTAAATCATTCCAGCCAGGGCTTTGTCAAGCCTGACCTTAAAAACCTCTAAGGAAGGAGATTCCACCACCTCCCTAGGTAACACACTCCAGTGTTTCACCACCCTCTTAGTGAAATAGTGTTTCCTAATGTCCAAACTAGACCTCCCCCACTGCAACTTGAGACCATTACTCCTTGTTCTGTCGTCTGCTACCACTGAGAACAGTCGAGCTCCGTCCTCTTTGGAACCCCCCTTCAGGTAGTTGAAGGTTGCTATCAAATTCCCCCCTCACTCTTCTCTTCTGCAGACTAAATAAGCCCAGTTCCCTCAGCCTCTCCTCGTAAGTCATGAGCCCCAGCCCCCTAATCATTTTCGTTGCCCTCCGCTGGACTCTCTTCAATTTGTCCACATCCCTTCTGTAGTGGGGGGCCCAAAACTGGACACAGTACTCCAGATGTGGCCTCACCAGTGCCCAATAGAGGGGAATAATCACTTCCCTTGATCTGCTGGCAATGCTCCTACTAATACAGCCCAATATGCCGTTGGCCTTCTTGGCAACAAGGGCACACTGCTGACTCATATCCAGCTTCTCGTCCACTGTAATCCCCAGGTCCTTTTCTGCAGAACTGCTGCTTAGCCAGTCGGTCCCCAGCCTGTAGCGGTGCATGGGATTCTTCCGACCTAAGTGCAGGACTCTGCACTTGCCCTTGTTGAACCTCATCAGATTTCTTTTGGCCCAATCCTCCAATTTGTCTAGGTCACTCTGGACCCTATCCCTACCCTCCAGCATATATACCTCTCCCCGCATTTTAGTGTCATCTGCAAACTTGCTGAGGGTGCAATTAATCCCATCATCCAGATCATTAATAAAGATGTTGAACAAAACCGACCCCAGGACCGACCCTTGGGGCACTCCACTTGATACCGACTGCCAACTAGACATGGAGCCATTGATCACTACCCGTTGAGCCCGACAATCTAGCCAGCTTTCTATCAACCTTCTAGTCCATTTATCCAATCCAGACATTTTTAACTTGCTTTGAGGGCACCTTGTGCAGACAAAGGCTCTGGAGCCCTTGGTCCCTGCCCGCAGAGCTGCACCAGGGATTGCTGCCTGCCCGGCCCTGCCCAGCCAGCTGGCTGCATAACACCCACAGCCTCCGGGTCAGGGGTGACTGACAAGCAGGAGCACAGTGGCTGGTATGGTACCTAGACCAGCCCCCAGGCCAGGAGAGGGAGCAATGCCAGTTGCAGAGGATGGGAGCTGTGGTGTGGCTTTCAGCCAGAACTTGGCCTCTTTGGGTCCCTTCGCCCAGGTGTCCTGCTCGGCTTTGCCCCATTTCCACACCTGGGTCTGGGCTGATCTTGCTCAGCTCCCTGCTGCTGGCATAATAGAGAGTGCGGGGGGCAGAGGTCACCCAATGCGAGGGGCATCCCAGGCTGCAGGGGGTGGCTGAGGTGGAGGTGAGAGGGAGGGTGCTGGGTAGGGGGACTGGCTCAGTCCCATCGCTCCCCTCCTACAGCTCTGCCCTCTTTGCAGGACCCCAGAGATCCCTTCCTGTGACGTTCCCCACTGGTGTTGTCTGGACCAGTGATCTCCTAGGCCACCCCAATCCTTGACTCTGGGAGCCAGGCTTACCCTGCTCTGCTGTGAGAACCCCACTCCTGGGCTGTTCACGCACAGCCTCTGGCATGTCAGCTGCTCCCAGCTGCTTGCAAGCGAATGACACTAGCCAATATCTCCAGTCCCAGACACAACCCTGGGAACCTCCGTCTTGCAGTGTCCAGTTATGCCTGCTGGATGCAGCAAGCTTATATAAGTTCGTCAATTTAACAAAGAAATTGATATGTACCAGGCTTGTTCTCCCAAGGGGAGTCTCTGACACACTGCAAACCAAATGTGCTGTTTCAGGTAGAATAAACAAACAGATTTATTAACTATAAAGGTAGATTTAAGTGATTGTAAGACAAAACATAACAAGTCAGATTTGGTCAAATGAAATAAAAGCAAAACGCATTCTAAGCTGATCTTAACACTTTCAATGTCCTTCAAAACTTAGATTCTTCTCACCACAGGCTGGCTGGTTGCTTTTCAGCCAGGCTCTCTCCTTTGATCAGCGCTTCAGTCACTTGGTGGTGGTGGTGTCTGTAGATGTAGGTGGAAGAGAGAGAGCATGGCAAACATCTCTCCCTTTTATCATGTCCTTTCTTCCCTCATGGCTTTGCCCCCTGCCCACCTCCTTCAGAGTCAGGTGAGCATTATTACCTCATCGCAGTCCCAAATTGCCCAAAGGAAGAGGGTGACTCCCTCGAGAGTCTAACAGATTCTTTTGTTGCATCCTAAGCCAGTGTCCATTGTTCCTGTGAGGCTGGGCTGGGTTTGTCCCATCCATGCCCTGATGGGGTGTGAACTGCCCCTCTGCTCTTGGAGAGTTTTTGCCTGGGCTTGCTTTATGCCATGAGGACACATTTTTAGCCTCATAACTATATACATGAAATTATAACCTATAACTTTACTGTAACAATTACTATAACATCACTCAAACAACCATGCTCAGTGCATCATGAGCCTTCCGAAGACACCCGACATGACAAACTTTGCATTGGATACCACACAATCATTTTACAAGGATGAACATGGGGGTGCTGGGTGTTCCCCTGAGGTACAGAGCGTCACACTCCCCTCTCCCGGTGACACCTTGGTTCCTGCCCCTGCAGAGCCTGGAGGTCCCTGACGCTGCCTGCAGCTCTGACAGCGACTGTGTGGCTGGGGAGATGGACATGCTGGGGAACGGTGAGTGAACAGTGCTGGCTGGCAGCTGGGATGTCGGCGTGGGCACGGGTCAGGGCCAGCTGGACACTGGCATTCAGCTGCCACAGAGCCAGAGGGAGGGCAGGGCCTGCCACCCCCAGGGGACGCGCTCTCAGTCCATCTGTCTGTCTGTCCCCGTAGGAGAGAGGACGGGGCGCTGCATCCCCTATTACAGCGGGCCGGGGAAGACCTGCGAGGTCTCCGCCTGGTGTCCAGTGGAATACGGACACACGGTCAGGTAGAGAAGGGGCTGCTGGGAGTGTAGGGGGACCTACAGACAGGGGGATGTTCATGGCCCCTGGGAAGGAGGCACAGCTGGGAGCCCCTCAGCCCTTCTCCTGCCCTGGGATGCCACCTAACCCTCACCCCAGCACCCAGCTCCAGTGGGACACCCCAGAGGAAGACAGAGCTGGGCAGGGAGGGGGTGCTAGCCGGGGGAGAGGCACAACCCCCCCCCTTCTCATCAGGGGTGAGTTAGCACCAGGAAAGAAGGGTGTCAACAGTGGGGGAGACACAGCACCCTCATGGTGAAGAAGGGACCCCCACATGCTTTGGGGCGATGGGGTTTTGGCGTGGGTGGGGGCCGTCACTTGTGGGGGTGGGGAGGATGATGCCTGGGGCTTGGGGGAGGAGGAACTCCCTGCCCAGTGAAGAGCTGACACTTGTTTCTGGCCTCGCCAGTGAGTCCCTGGGGAAGATGGCCGCGCAGTTCACCATCCTGATCAAGAACAACATCCACTTCCCCCGCTTCGGATTCTCCAAGTATGGCTCAGCAGTGACCAGCGAGCGGCCGTGCCCTCCATGGTCTCACACCAACCGCCCCCCTCGGGGGAGGGTTAACAGGCTGTGCCGGTCAGGAACAGAGCCGGGCGGGGAGGAGGGAACGAGAACCCTGGCGCATGGGCACCGGGGGGAGACATTGCCTGGGTGCTGCTCTGGGGGTGTGTGAAGAGATGTGTGGTTTGTGTCTGCAGGGCCTGGTCAGCTGGCTGAATGATGCCAGGTTGACCATTGCTGCCATTGTGGTTGGGCCAGGGCACCGCAGACCAGCACATGCTAGAGATGAGTCTGTAGAGCACGGCTGTGGGGGTGCGTGTGTGCATGGGGGCTGCGTGTGTGTGTGCAAATGGCTCTGCAGCTCTGTGTTTGTGCACCTGCAGGGGGGTGTATTTTAGGGTTGCCAGGTGGCCAGTTTTCGACCGGTCGAAAAGGGAACCTGGCAGTGTCCAGTCAGCACAGCTGATTGGATGCTAAAAGTGCGGGTACCTGCAGTTAGAGCAGCAGCTGCGGTTGGAGCCTGGGGGAGCTGCTCTCTTCTCAACTGCTGAGTGAGAGAACCCGGCTCCAGCCGCTCTGGCAGAGTGGGAGGTGCGGGCGCTGGCCGCAGGGGTGGGGGGAATCCTGTCCACTCCCTGCCTCGCTGTGCCCCGATTGGGCAGGCTCCACATCAGCTCCTCCCAGCCTGGCTCTGCAGGGAGCAGGTGAGTCCCGGGAGAGGGGGGAATGAGCAAGGAGGGGGAGGTGGAGAGCAAGTGAAGGAGGGAGAGCAGTAAGTGAGGGAGGGGCCTCAGGGGAATTGGTGGGGCAAGGGTGTTCGGTTTTCAGCAATTAGAAAGTTGGCAACCCTGTGTTTGTGAGTGTGCACAGGTATTAGCAGCTATGGGTCCCATGGGGGTCTGGGTTTGTTCATGTACATGGCAGGTGAGATACTCAGCAGCTCTCGGTGTGTCTCCTCAGAGGGAACGTGAAGGACGATAAGAACGGCTACCTCAAAGACTGCACCTTCAATGAGACCACTGACCTGTACTGCCCCATCTTCCGGCTGGGCTCCATTGTGGAGCAGGCAGGGGAGAACTTCACCGCGCTGGCCGAACAGGTACGCTGTAAGGGGAGGGGGGACCCTCACCTGGTGACAGGCTCTGGCCAGGTGTGGCCGCTGCAGGGTCTCTGGTTGGGCTGGGTTCTCTCAGGGACATGGCTCTCAGGTCTCCCCCAAAGGAAGGCTCCAACTCAGGCCCAGAGAATATCAGGGTTGGAAGGGACCTCAGGAGGTCATCTAGTCCCACCCCACTGCTCAAAGCAGGACCAATCCCCAATTTTTGCCCCATCCCCTAAATGGCCCCCTCAGGGATTGAACTCACAACCCTGGGAGTAGCAGGCCAATGCTCAAACCACTGAGCTATCCCTCCCCTCCATCCTGCTGCTGCTCTTGCCTCCTGCACAGGAGTGTTCAGGGTCTGGGGGACTCGAGCAGGTGCCATGGCAGGAAGTTCCTGGTCGGCAGAGACCCTGTGGCGGGCTGCAGGGAAGCTGTCAGACAGACAGCACAGGCCTGCAGGCAGCTCTGTGCGGAGCCCAGCATGTCGCTCAATCTGGCTGACCACCCTGCGCCCAGCATTGCCCGGGTGCCTGCGGGGGGCACCAGCTGCTGCAGAAGGGCCTGGCAGGTGAATGCCTTTTGGCCCACTGGCCATTCTCTGCCACTCCCCAGAGCCTTGTGCCATCCTGGCCTCTCTTCTCGGGATGCCCCCTACTGGGCAGTGGTCAGCCGCTGGGTCCCCTCTGACCCCAGAGCCACACGCTCGCTTTCTGAATGCCCTCCATACACGCCCCCTGGGCCTGGATAGCCAGCTCCTTCGCGCTTCCCTTGCCTCAGCACGAGCCTGCCAGGCGCTGGGCTGAGCTAGGCTGGCAGGCAGCTCCCGGAGCCCGGCAGCTGCCCTCCGGTGCTGGGTGGGCCCTGCCAGGCGAGCAGGAGGGAAAGCGTCTGACTGGACGGGCAGCAGGGAGATACGGGGAGCAGAGAGGGAAGCTCTGAGATGCAAGGAGGTCGGGGGGAGGGGTGGGCAATAGGCTGGAAGTCAGGACCCCGGGTGCTGCCTAGGGCAGCTTGAGGTCCTGCTAGAGGTGTGTTGGTCCTGCCCTGCTCTCTGTCTCCTGCAGGGCGGCGTTATCGGGGTGATCATAAACTGGAACTGTAACCTGGACCTGCCCGACTCTGCGTGCAACCCCAGCTATTCCTTCCACAGGCTGGATCCCAAGAGGATTCAGGTGTCTTCTGGCTACAACTACAGGTGACTTGTCCCCCTGCTCCTCTGGGGCGGTGACCCCCAGGGCCCTGCAACACCCCTGCTCTCGGGCCTGGCCGCTCCGCTCTGACTGCCCCTCATCCCCGCTCTCTCCTGCACAGGTTTGCCAAATATTACAACAGCAACGGGACGAACACGCGGAGCCTGATCAAGGCCTACGGGATCCGCATCGACGTTATTGTGCATGGCCAGGTGGGAAGAGAACCCTGCCCAGCGCCCCCTTCCCCTGCACTGGGCCTGGCTCTGCAGGGACCCTGCCCAGCGCCCCCTTCCCCTGCACTGGGCCTGGCTCTGCAGGGACCCTGCCCAGCGCCCCCTTCCCCTGCACTGGGCCTGGCTCTGCAGGGACCCTGCCCAGCGCCCCCTTCCCCTGCACTGGGCCTGGCTCTGCAGGGACCCTGCCCAGCGCCCCCTTCCCCTGCACTGGGCCTGGCTCTGCAGGGACCCTGCCCAGCGCCCCCTTCACCTGCACTGGGCCTGGCTCTGCAGGGACCCTGCCCAGCGCCCCCTCCCCCACACTGGGCCTGGCACTGCGGGACCCTGCCCAGCGCCCCCTTCCCCTGCACTGGGTCTGGCTCTGCAGGGACCCTGCCCAGCTCCCCCTCCCCTGCACTGGCACTGCGGGACCCTGCCCAGTGCCCTCTCCCTTGCACTGGGTCTGGCTCTGCAGGGACCCTGTGATGCCAGGCTGGGCCGAGTTGCTGACATTCACAAGTAGGGTGGCCAGATGTCTGGTAGGGGACCTGATGGTGTCCAGTCAGATCTACTGACTGGACACCCAAAGTCCGGTTACTGCAGGTGAGGGAGGTGGAGAGGAGCCGGGTCATCGCTGGGGCTGCCTCCTGCCTGCATTGGGCAGCTGCAGGTCCCTCCCCAGCCATGCAGGGATGGGGGAGAGAGGAAGAGCAGCGAGTGACAGTGGGAGGGGGAAAGAGAAGCAAACAGGGGTGGGGCCCCAGGAGGAAGGGGTAGGGAAGGGGCATTGCGGGGGGGACAAGGCGGGGCAAGGCCCAGGGGGAAGGGACGGGGTAGAGGCGGTGAGGAGTGCCAGGTTTTTAGATACTGTATTACAAAGTTGGCAACCCTAAGCCGCGGGGAACGGGTGGCAGGGGCTGAGGAACGTGGTGCTGACAGCTCTGTTTTTCTGCCTAGGCAGGGAAGTTCAGCCTGATCCCCACCATCATTAACCTGGCCACGGCGCTGACCTCAGTGGGAGTGGTGAGTATGTCGTGCCCAGGGTGCTTGGCACGGGCCTCCCTCGGGCACTAACCCAGCTCTCCTGCTCCCCAGGGCTCATTCCTCTGCGACTGGATCTTACTGACCTTCCTGAACAAGAATGAGGTGTACAGCGCCCGGAAATTCGATCAGGTACCATCCCGGCCCCTCGCTATGACCCTGCCCTGCTCCTGCCAGAGATCTCCCTGCCCCAGGCCAGGAGGTGCCCTCATCCATGGGCACGGGGGAAGCGACTCACCATATCATACAGCAAGGCAGGGCAAAGCAGGGCATAGGACCCAGGAGTCCCAGCACCCTGCTCTCACCACTAGACTCCACCGCCTCCGCTGTGACTGGGCATCTCCAGGGTCAAGGGCAGTGAGGGAGTACCCAGGGGCACCTCCCCCTATGCTGAATTAAAGCCCAGCAGAGATCCTACTCATGCAGCGCGAGAGACCCCCACACAGGGACCCTTGCTACCAGGGGAGGCTGGAGTGAGAGTGTGAAATTAGCACAGGCCTCAAGGGGAGACCCCGGAGAAGGGGGCCATGAGCCCTGCCGGGCAGGGATGGCTGGTGCCCTGCCTGCCCCAGCCCCCTTGTGCTGCAGCTGCTGTCACACATTGTGTTTCTGCCCATCACAGATGGAGCCGCGTGGCACCTCGCAAGCCAGTGCCCAGAGACCAGGCCGGATGGGCTCTCCCTGCCCTTGCTGGCTCTGGGCGTTCCTTGCGGGAGCCGGGCACAGCAGCCTGCCTGATGAGCCACCCCACGGGCCTTCTCCTGGCTGTTCTCCATGCCCTGTGCCCTGGGGTGGGGCCGTGCAGCGAGGCCTGGGCACTAACTGCCCCATCTCTCCTCTGTTTGCCAGGACGGGACCCCGGCGCCAGGCTGCAGTGGTAACGCCTGCACCACCCAGGCCTCCTCGCCAGCCAACCCCACGGGCCCCGGCCAGCTCTGAGCTGCCGCTGCCCCCCACCTGCTGCTGCGGCTGGACTGGAGAGCGGGGAGCCCCTGGCGGGGACACGCAGGGCCAAGGGGCAGACTGAGTGGGGCTGCCTCCAAGTACTGATTGGAGGGGTGAGAACCCAGCGCTAGGCTGAAATCCCCTAGAGGCTGGAGTGCCAGGTGACCTGCCACGGGGGCAGCGTGGGACAGGTACCAGCCCCGCTCTACACCCCCTGCTCTGCCAGCACCAGCACCAGCCCCTCCCACAGTGAACGTGCCCAGGGGGCTATGATGGGGCGACAGGTCGGCCCCAGGAGCCCAGCTGCAGAGAGGCTGGTCTGCAGGCTGCATCCGCCTCCCCTGGTCCAGCTGGCTCTTTAACTCGCACTGACCCGGGAGTCGCAGGGTGCCACGTGCTGAGGGGGAACAGAACCAGCAGGAAGCACATGGGCACTGTCCTTTCCTGGGGCATCACCTCTTTCCTGCTACTCTCCCCCTAAGGGAGCCCCCTGCCCCGCCCCGGGCTCCCCTTCCTCCACAGTTGCTGGAGTCTGCACTCTCCCATGGGCCACCCACAAACCCAGCCATGCCCACTCATGATGTCAGACAAGCCACCACTCACAGGGCAGTTCCTCATCGCGTGATCGCCATTCATCCTTCTGGCTGGCTTTGAGCAGCAGCAACTTAGTGAACGGTACTGACAGTTGACTAGTCTTCATTAGGTTTCAGAGGTAGCACGACATTGAGATGACCAGAGCTCTTCACCCCTCTCAGAGCTGCTGTTTCAGTCTCTCTGCAGACTCCGGCAGAGCTCACAGCATCAGTGACACTTGGGTCATATTTTGAAGGGTTTTGTCACAATCATAAGGGCTAGAGATTTAATTTGGGGGGGGGGGGCTCAGGTTGAGACACCTCATTTTCCAGGAAGTGCTGAGCCCCCATCCTGTGAAAAATGAGGCTGAGCCCCTGAAAAAAAAGGCTGAGCCCCTGAAAATGGAGATGCCCCCAAATCACTAGTCACTGCTGAAAAGCGGGCTTGAGAGCGTAGCCTGGGGCACGCAAACACAGGAACCAGACCAGCCCCCCCCCAGACACACTCAGAGCTCACCTTAGGCCCTGAACTGTCCCACGGGCTCTGCGTGGCTGGGGGGCAGGGGCCCATGTGGTAATCAGGAGGGCTGTGAGGTGAGAGCCCGTCCCCTTTGTGCACCCTGACTGTGCAGCACGGCTAGGCCATAGGGTGGGTTGGCGCCTTGGCATGGCTGGAGCAGTGAGACCTGGCCAGGCAGGGCAGAATGGCTGGCTCGGCCCCCAGGGAACCACTGCACCGGTGGGTGCTGCTGGTTGAGTTCACAGCCAGGCAAGGGCTGGTGGCACCAAGGCCGCGCTGGCCAAGCCGGCGGTGTCTGGTAGCGTTGGCACAAGGGGCTGTCCCCCATGCCTGCCTGCCCTCTCCCCCACCGCCCCGTCACTTTACCAAACAGCTAGGAAATGAACTTGGGCACACGGTGTTACTGGCCCAGCCAGGCGAGCCGGGGCCATCGCCAGCGGGCCCTGCAGGCGCAGAGGCTCCCAGGAGGCTGATGGGCGCAATGCCTTGTGGTACAGATGGGCTAACTCCGAAGCTGCTTCGTGTGCCGTGAGCTGGGTGACGAGCTGCCCACGCGAGGCAGCCCGCACGGCTCGCTGGGTTCCCGGCGCTGCGGGCCTCTGGCCGGCTGCTTTCCTGGGGACAGTTGTGTTGTCACGTTACCCTGCCACTGGCCCTCTCATGTCATTGTAACCGGGGAAAAGGACTGCCCTCTCCCCGCTCCAGACCTACCTCCGGCCCCCCTTGGTCCTGCACTCAGGTGCCTACTGTCGACTCAAGCAGCCCTTGCTGGCTGTTCACCTCCTGGCTGTCCTTGTAGGGGAAACCCTCTGAACCATGTGCCGAGGAAGTGCCCAATGCCCAATGCAGTGGGAGTGATTCAGAGCCATGAGCCTGGCATCTGCTGGCGTTTGCAGTGGCTGGAATGGTGCCGAGCTGCTGTGAGAAGGGTCCAGCCGCGTGGCTCGGGAAACGGCACTAGGCTGGAGTGGGGTGGGAACACTGGCTGTGGGGCGCGGCTAGTGACTCCTACTCCAGGCCCTGCGAGTCTCAGCCCAGGGGCTGGATGGCTGGGGCAGGAGTAGGGGCTGGGGAGTCTTCACAGCTCCCTTGCCTGGCCACCCCTCTCCCAGCAGGGGGCGCTGTAAAGAGCAGGGTAAGAGTGCTGACAGAGGGGGGGCAGTCCCGGTTCTCCAGCCTCTCCCAGCAGGGGGCGCTGTGGGGAAGGCTGCGATAGCCACGCCTATTAGCAGCAATGACAGAACGCTGCCCTGTGCCATGACAGGCTCACGGGCGAGCACGTAGCTGTCAGAACCCTGAGGTCCTCCAGAGAGAGGTGCCAGGCAGGATGACGCAGGCCCCACATGGCCTGTACCTGGGGGGGGGGGGCATAGGCCACATGACCAGATGCCAGGCAGCCGGGTCGGTTGGGTTGGGTTGGGAGCATGGTGATGCTGGGGCGTGGGAGTGGGCTGGGGGGGGAGGGCGGGGCAGATTCTGGATCATTGCATCAACTCCCCAGGTCCTTTCCAGGGGCTGGTGCCCAGCCCCATACCCTACACCAGCGGGGCCATACAGGAGTACTTTCCTTTATCGGAGTGTCCCGATCCCCAGAGAGATCAGGGCCCCACTGGGCTAGGTGCTGCAACCTCCCCGGCTCCCTTCTATTGCATCTTCATGGAGCTCTCAAAGCCTCCATGGGGCAGGTGAGCTGGGTGCTGGGAACTCTCTGCTCAGAGAGGCTGCAACATGGCAGGTGTTTATGGGCCCATCTACACTACCGAGCTGTGAAGTGTGGCTGTGGTGTGGCCCAGCCAAGCACTGAGCCGGTTTGCTTGGCCTTGCCCCCATTGCTACCCCTAGCTTGGCTCAGCCGCTGGGAGCTGTGGAGGGGCTGCAGGCGCATGGTGCAGGAGGCCACAGGGGCACGACCAGCCTGGTGCACGGCTCTTGCTCTGAGCAGGGCTGGCCAAGGTGAAGGTGACGGTAGCTGCCTGCAGCCCGAGCCCGTGTTGTGATGCAGTGAGCGGCTCTCAGGTTCCTCACCCTGCTGCACGGGGCCCAGCAGCATGTAGCATCCTGCCTGCCAGCCTGGGACAGGAAGTGCAGAAAGACGTTGCCCCCAGCTGGACAGTGCAGGGAAAGCCATCAGAGCGACTGCAGCTGCCCCAGCTGATGCCCGACTCACCAGACAGCCCCGAACCAGGGCTGCCGTCACGTCTGCCCTTGTGATGGCATCACATGCCTGATACACCCCTGTGCCTCCTTTTGACTTGCATCTCCCCCGCTTCCACTCAGCGTGGGCTGCTGGTGCCGCTAAGTGCCCGGCCAGCATGCTAAGTCAATTAGAAAGAGACTTGGAGGTAATTGAATCAGAGCAAGCGGGGTGGGGGTGGGGGTGGGAGGTTCTGAGCATAATCACATTTTCTGGCTCTTCTGTTTCTGTGGCAAATCCCAGTGCATTAGCAGCTTCCCACTGTGACCTCTGGCTCCAACCCGGGAGGCGAAGGCATGGGCCGGGGCAGCCAGAACCCAGGGCTGGCTGCTGGCAGCTTGGCTTCACTAGCAGGGCTGGGCCCCCCAGTCCCCTGCAGGATCGGGCAAGGGTTAGGGGTGGGAACATTCCCGGGTGTGGGGGGGTACACTCAGGGCTGCCAAGCCCCATGGGCCCATTCGAGGAGATTCCCGGAGCCAGCTGGAGATGGGGATGGAAAATGGACTGGACAGGGAGGGGAGATGAGAGGTCTTTTTGCTGTTAAAGGCATCCAGGGTCAGCTTAGCTGCCCTGGGAAGAGGAGAGTGAGGAGACCAGGGCTTTGTTCCAAAGACTGCCCAGGGTCAGGTCAGAGATGATGCACCAGGCCGGGGCTCGGGAAGGGGGCCAGGAGCAGAAGCTGGGGGATCTATTCCGGAAGGTTTCATTTCATGATGTAATGGCATTAATGTCTGACCTACTGTGCTCTGAACCTCACTCCAGAGCCATCATTCTGCCTTTGGTGGAAACAAGGAGCATCGGATGAGTCATAATTTCGCATTTTAAGCATACTGCGCAAATAAACAAGACTGCAAAATCTCCAGTTGTAATGTGAATCTTATTTATAAATTGTGAGATGAGGTTTAGGTGCCTTTGCTTGTTAATGCACGTTTAAATGGGTCGGGCTTCAGAGTAGCAGCCGTGTTAGTCTGTATCCGCAAAAAGAAAAGGAGTACTGGAAATGGCCCACCTCGATTATCACTACAAAAGGTTTTTTTTTCTCTCCTGTTGGTAATAGCTCACCTTACCTGATCACTCTCATTACAGTGTGTATGGTAACACCCATTGTTTCATGTTCTCTGTGTATATAAATCTCCCCACTGTATTTTCCACTGAATGCATCCGATGAAGTGACCTGTAGCTCACGAAAGCTTATGCTCAAATAAATTGTTTAAATGTGTGCGTGCATAGGGGCCTGGGCATTAGTTAATGCCATTATTTTAAAATACAGAGAATTCAACAGCATAACCTTAGAAAACGAGAAATACAACAAAAACTCATTGATTAGCCTTACGAATGGAAAACGCTTGACGACACTGTCATGGAGTCCCTGGGCGATGCTCTGGAACTGCTCCCTATGAAGCCAGTCAGGACTGTGGGGAAATCTCCTCTCTGGGAGCAGCCTGTCTGCAGGGCAAAAAAGCTCACACAACTTCCACCTTCCTGGGTCTGTCCTCGGAGCATTCAGCATCCTCTGCCCCTCCGTGCGCTTCCCACAGCGAGTCGGCCCAGGCAGGGTCCTGGGGAAGCCAGAGGGTCCTGCCCCCCAACTCCACAGTCAGACGGGACTCTCAGCCAGCCAGTAAAACAGAGGGTTTATTAGATGACAGGGACATGGTCTAAGACAGCTTGTAGGTGCAGAGAACAGGACCCCTCAGCCAGGTCCATT